GTTCCAGTTTCTTCCTGATTGTTTTAGTCCATAGATAGGACGCAGCAGTCTCGCCACTTCTCCTTTTTCAGCGTTTATGAAAGGAGGTAACTCCATGTATATCTCTTCTCGCAGGTTTCCGTAAAGGTACGCATTTTTTACATCTATGTGTCTGGTGTGCCACTGATATTCTACTGATAGAGCTGAAAGTAATCTAATTACTGAAAAATTTACCACAGGTGAATACGTTTCGCTATAATCAATTTCCTTTCGTTGTGTGAAACCTCGCGCCACTAATCTAGCTTTGTACCTCGTAATCTTACCTTCGGCATTTGTTTTCAGTTTGAATACCCACTTGCATCCTACGCAATTCTTTCCTTCAGGCAGCTGAGTAATCTCCCAGGTTTTTCGTTGTACTAAGCTGTCTATCTCTTCTTTGATTGCGTGCTTCCACTGTTTAGATTGCGGTGATGCCAGCGCTTCATTGATGTCTTGCGGCTCCCTGACTTCTATTAGGTTTACTTCTATGTCGCTTGCTTCCGTCGATGCTTCCTCTTCTTCACATATGCGTTGTATTTCTTTAGGCTTCCCTTTTCTTCCGTAAGGATTACGAGTTTTCTTTTTGGGTCTGCCCCTCCTCGGAGTTTCCGTCGATTCTCGTTCTTCTGCCATCTCTCTTTCTGAAAAATCTCCCAATTCTGCATCTGTTCTTTTCTGCGATTTTGGTGGACTTTTCTTCTTATAACTTATTTGCTTTTGTGCAGGCTCCATTTCTTCTGTTGTCGAGTCGTCTTCATCGTTTGGCCAAACTTCATTATATTTAAATTTCTGTGGTACTTCTTTATAGATCCACTCGTATCCTATTTTATCTTCAGCAAACTTAACATGCTTTGTTACGATGACATCTCCCTTCTGTGGACACCATAGTCGATATCCTCTTGTTTGCGTGGCGTAGCCGACGAATATACATTCTGCTGCTTTATCGTCCAGTTTCTTTCGCCTTTGGTCTGGTAATCTTGCATAGGCAAGACAGCCATAAGCCTTTAAGTGACGTACGCTTGGAATCTTATCAGTCCACACGGTGAATGGGATTTGATCACTAATTATTGAGTGACATACTCTGTTTTTGATATATGCTGTTGTAGTAACTGCTTCGGCCCAAAACTTTGGAGGTAGATGTGCTGATTTGAGCATTGATCTCGTCAGGTCCAATAGGGTCCTGTTTATCCTCTCAGCTACCCCGTTCATCTGAGGCGTTTCTACATTTGATTTTTCATGTTTAATGCCTGCAGATCTGAAAAATTCTGATAATTCTTTGTTGCAGAATTCTAATCCATTATCTGTTCGGAATCTCTTCACTTTTCTGTCTTTTTCACGTTCTATTCTAGCAATGTAGTTTTTTACACAGCTTTTAACTTCTTGTTTGGAACTTATACACATGACCGTAACATTTCGCGAGAAATCATCCGTGAATGTTATAAAATACCTGCTACCGCCTATTGATTTCACGGGCATAGGACCACACAAATCCGAATGGATTAGTTCACATACTTCTCTCGATTGTCTTGATTTTAAGGTAGCGCATGCGGTCTTCGTTGCCTTTCCTATGCAGCATGCTTCACATGTGTGTCTGTCCATCTTCGTGTCGTCCAAACCGATAACACGATTTGCTTCCGCTAATTTCTTTATTGTGCTATTGCCGACGTGACAGAACCTATGATGCCACAGATCAATTTCTAATGCACAAGATTCCTTCGTAAGCTCTCGTGGTGCTTCAGGGTCCAACTCGACATCTAATACATATAAATCACTTCGCCTATATGCTTCGCATACTACTCGTTTGGTAGCGACATTTCTAATTTTTACTTTACCGTTCCGTATTAGTAACTCTTTCCCTTTTCGCTCCATTTGTGAGACTGACATTAAATTCTTTCTTATATTAGGAACATAATAAACATCTCGCAGGACTATATTTCTTTCTACATTTGCAACGGTCGTTTTTAGAAATATATCGCCCATACCTTTTGCTCGTAGCGTCGCTCCATTCTGTTTATTTGGATCCGCAGCGGTATTAATTATCTCTGAATCTACCCTTTTAAAATTGGTGAACCACTCTCGTTGTTTACACACGTGATGTGTACTTCCACTATCCAAAATCCATGTATCTTTGATGTCGACATTATACAAAGACATGAGAAGTGCATCATATTTCTTTTCTTGTTTGACACCAGGTTTCTTATGAAATCCGTTCTTCTTTAATCGGCAATCTCTTGCAATGTGACCAATTTTCCTGCAATTAAAACAAGTGAGTGACTTATATTTCTCGTTACCTGTTGTCTTTTTTTCTTCGTTTCTTTTGTTCATCACCAACGCCTCTTTTGACGAATCTGTTTTAACGTCGAATCTGGATTGACGTCTGTCGTATTCAGCTAATAAAACTCTTGTTATTTCCGCCGACGTAAATCTGTCGTCTGGCAAACTCGCTAGAGCCATATTTAAATTCTCGTAATCGTCTGAAAGTCCAGTTAGTATCGCATATGCAAGGTCTTCATCTTTTACTTCGGCGTTTGCATCTCTGAGATTGGTGGCGGCAACCTTCACTCTGGCAGTATATGCAGACATGTGCTCATCGCCTTTCATTTGTAGATGATAGAAAGCCTTTTTCAATTGCATAATCCTTACTCTTGATTTGGGCTCGTGAATTTGTTCAAGCGTTTGCCATGCTTCGTGTGCACTTTTGCAATCCTCTATGTATATCTGTTGGTCTATTTCTAAGCTCAAGCCTATAGTCGCTAATGCCTTGTCGTCATTTGATTGATGCAATTTTTTATCGGCCGCAGTAGCTGTATCACTTAGTGTGATTTCACCGAGTGCATAACTTAGTAGTCCCCTACCTTTTAGAAGCCACTTTATTTCAGTTTTCCATGTCCGGTAATTTCTGTCGGACAGCTTCTCGACTACGTTATCACTTCTATTGTCCGTATGACTCATCTTTCAATATTGCTTCTATAGTTTTTCTGAGTGTCTCTTCTTATGCTCTTTCTTTTATATTTCTGAACGTCCTGGGCCCATAACCATTTATTGGGAATAAAAGAGTTTTTTAGAGAAAGATTGTAAGAAGTCTTATTCAGTCAAAACGGACTTGACGACAACGATCGTGCTGATAACAAGTTTTGTTTTTAGACAAAAGACAGAACGGTTGTCATGGCATGAATACAATAAACGCGCGTAGCGACAAACAGAACATTAAATACAAAGATGCCGATAACTAATCGTCTGTAGCTTGCATATCAGTTATCCGCCGGGTGCCACACTTGATTGGACAAGCAATTATCCATCATTAATTTAGTCTTAAAATTGTCTGTCGTTAAATAAAATAGTATTTCTTTGTTAATTTTTGCTTTTGTATTTAAATATTCCATAAATGTGTATAGTTGGGTGCGAAAATATTTTTGAATTCTATCTTGCTCTTTATCATACTAGAATGAGCCTCTTTATGCAAATGTAATGGAGAGTGGGCAACACAATCTTGCACAGTATGCAAGAGACACTTTTGTAAGTTGAGGATGTTTGCTTTTTTTTTTTAATGTAGTATATTGTAAGCAAACAGAGGTCTCAACTTACATCGTTGTCACTTGCACACAATCGGTCGTCCTTCAAGGCTGGTTCCAGTATGTATAATATGTAAAATTCAGTGGATTTTATTAATGTTCTTAAAGATTTTTATTTAATTGCGCAGGCTTGTGGACATCGGGTGCAGAGATACCTAGCCCTGTACATTGTACGTGTACATATTGGTTTAATTATTTCGTTTTGGACGACAAATTAATCATATGTAAATATTTCCATGCGACTTTTAATAATGGCCAACCAAATTATGAAAACTATTGTAAGTAAAATGTTAGCAGAATATTGGCAGACTGGCAGAATTGATGAGAGCATGTCAGCAGATCGAACAAATTTGTTCACATAAGCTGTTAGATTGACCGCAAAAACCAAGCAAGATCTTTGCAATCAGATAGCAGATTGACAGCAGAAATCAAGCTAAACAGAATGTGATTTTGTGATTGTTCAAATTTAAATTATTAGTAAAGGAAGGGTAGAAATATTATGGAATATATTATTTTGTCTTATTGTGTATGCGTGTGCGTGCGTGCGTATGTGTGTGTGTGTGTGTGTGTGTGAAATAATAGCGAAAGGAAACCTCTCACTGCATTGAGCAATCACATTTCACCGCTCGTTTGCATTTAGAGGTAAGCCAAGTGGATACCCGATAAATGCTTATTTTTTAAGATTAATATCTTGTTGCTTATTATGAAAATTAAAAAAATGTTAATATTCACTATACAAAAATTTATTTCATTATAAAAATTTTTCACTATACAAATTTATATATTTACTATACAAATAAAACTTTATAATGTCGATATAAAACCTCTTTCATAGTCGAAAAGCAAGACATATTTATTTATTTACATTAACATAAATTCTGCTTGGTTTCTGTCGACAATCTGATGCTAACATTGTGTACGACTCGTCTATTTTGATTTTGCCAATCTACCATCAGATTATATCAGCAAATTTTCATATTTCTACCGGTAATTTGCCGATATCGTCAAATATTATAGATTCTGTATATTTATTGTCTTTCCGCTATAAAAAAAGTTTAACTGACTCTGTTTAAAATCTGTTTATACAGGTATGAAATATAAAATTTACATTTACTTTTCAAATGAAAATACATGGAAAATGGTATATCGGAAGGATAAATTTTTTCATAACAGTTTCGGGATAAGCATGACAAATGTATTATTTAATACTGCACCATGTTATATTCGTAAGTATTATCATTTATGTATTACGTAGATGTAAAAAAAACTTAAATTTTACATTATATATTTTGCAGATATTATAGATGAAAACAAAATGATTTTAAGAGTTGTCAGCGATTCATGCAATAACGAAAACTGCCGCATTATGAGATACAATAAACGGATCAAATTTAAATCATCGCTTAAAAAATATAATAAAGAAGATTCAATTTTATCTTTCTTCAAAAAAATAAATTTTGATATCTATTTGTACATTTACGATAGAAGCTTTGGGCAATATAACCAGGAATATAATACAGTGTATTTTAATTTGACTGAATCATGTTATAAAAACACGTTTCACTTGCACAGTATTTCCATAAAAAATAGTCAAAAGTTTCAGTCATATATTGATTTTCCGCATAGATTTTTTCAACTAAGTAATCCTGATCACTTACACGTGACAAACTTGAATCATATTTAATTGTAAATTTATTAATTAAATATTTAGAGAGTCAATGTACTTATGAGAGCGAAAAAGAGAGAATGCAAAAGAAATCCTCGACAAAAAATATTTGTAATTATAAAACAAATATTTATTATATAGACATTCCAAGACAAAAATATTTGTTTCACAATTACAAGTATTTATAATTATATATTTTTAAATATTTATTAAATATTATTTATGTTAGATTAAGTCAAATATTTGTATTATTAAATACATATTTTATATCTTATTATTGAACTTTACATTCTATCAATATGAAAAATTCAATTTCTCTTGTCTCATTTCTCGCCGGACTTGTCATCTAGTCTTATTCTGCATTACCAGAGTGAAGCATGCCTCTGCTCATGGGCAGACAGGCAACCCGACTTACTGATGTGTTGTTTGCGGAAATACCCTGTACCTATATGTATATCCTATGGATTTTTTATGTATATTTTATATAAACTATGGAAATAAATTTTGATTATATTCTTAATATAATAATATTAATGTTTAAAAACAATGTTTAATACAAATTCGGTAATTATTAAGTTTAGTTCCCTCACGTGCGATATATTGATAAAACTGATGAAAAGCAGTGACATAAGCATATAAGCTGTCCAAGCGAATTTAACATAAATTTCGTTCAAATTCCAAGATATGATATAATAGAATCATATTAATAGGTTATTTGTCTGAATTTATTTTAAGAAAAAAAGATTTAATTTTAACGATTTAATGAACGAATTACAAAATTTTTTAAAATAATTGGTAAATTATAACAGAGAATGTGACAGCACATGCTCATATATATAGCTGTTTTTTATCAGTATGATAAGTTTTTTAATCTGTAATCAAAGGATATAGTAGCGTAAAGAGAGAGTTCCAGGCCCCGCATGTATCGAATGATCGTCACAGAGAGCGAAATAAACACTTCAAAAAAAAAAAAGAAAAAGAAAAAGGAATATTTTGAACAAAGTTTTATCCTAAAAGAGCCATATCATTTCGAGACAAATTGAAAACAATCGAAAAAAATGTAATTTTTTATTAATATTTTTTCTCCACTAAATGTAAACGGACTTTTACAAAAAAAATCATGCATTTATAAAGAGTGTCAAAAAAATTATACAGTAAGAACTTCTTTGTCATTCTTGGCTCAAAATTCTGTTTCTTAAAAAATTAATAAAAAAATTTTCAAAATTGTAATTTTATATTTGATTTCAATATTTGTGACCACTTCTAAAATAATTTAACAGCTAAATCATATTACATATTGTATTTGATATTTTTTCAGATTTTTGGATTTGGTAGAACATGTAAAAAAAATTGTTTTTTCGCCATTTTTTGACCTAAAACATACGAATTGATATATTATTAATTGTTCTTAAATATAATTGTATTTCAATTCCACATCTGCAAACAATAGTTTAAAAAATTTTAATATTATATAGAGCTTGCGTAGGTTAAACAACAATTCCATTTTTTCTTATTTAAAAAATTAGTTTAACTGTGCATTTATTCCATTTTGAATTAAATAGCCGTTTTTCTTCTTCTTCCTCCCTGAACCTCCCTCTTAACAGAATTTTTATAAAAGGAGTCCTTCGGAGGAGCAGCCCAGTCTGCTCAATATCAGTGCATTTCGCGCTCTAATGAAGCAAACGGTAAAGTTTACGAAACGTTGGCATTGGCAATGGATCACGACACAATGGTAACCCCGAAACCCTTTGATACCTTTGAAAAAAGTAAGTGTTGTACAAAAATTATGTATGTATATTATAATATTATATATTATTATTTAGTTAGTAAAAACAGTAACTTTAGGATCATCAAGGAAAACATAACAAAGCGTTTGCAAATCTCTAATCTTTTTTAATAATTCTTTGAAATCATGATACTCTCATTATATTATGTTTAGTATGTATATATATTATGTTTATTATAATATGTAAGCTAAAATAATTTGTATTTTAATATTATTGAAAAATAATTTTGTTAAAGAAATTTCATATTACAAAATAATCTATTGACTCAATTTATATATAACTTTTATACATAAACATTTTAAATATTTTGTTTAATTTACAATCGATTTAAATAAAATAATATAATATGATATACATATAACAATTTTTTTTATTATTTACTACCTATATTGACATCAACAAAATTAAAATGTCTGATTGTTACACGAATTGATATAAAAAAGTTGCTTTAATCTTAACTAACCAATAACTGTGCCCGTCTAAGAAATTTACTAAAATTTATATTATTATATCATGTGATTATATCAATCTAATCTATGATATTTATGATATCATTTCAGTTATATAATTTCAGTCATTCGTTAACAGCCGATGTAAAACGACGTACTTTTTTTAAGTTAGTGCAATTCTCATATGTAGACTATACTTTGCTTTTAATCATGATATAGTTACGATTTCATATATACATTTTAATTAATTATTTATTAGATTAATGTGTATGCAATTATTTTATTAAAGACACCTAATAAAGAAGAATAGAAAATTTTATTAAATTAAAAATGTGAAAATTATAATAATTATCTAATAATTGTGATGAAAGTTTCTATAGAGATGTTATAGCTTTACAATCATATTAGATTTTCTGATATTGTCGAAGTATTATAGTTATAGAAAACTATTTTTTATTCTTAATTATTAAATTATTTTTTACTCTATTATTTTAATTTTTTATTATAGAATACAAAATATTAATATATTTTATGTGTGAACACAATATATCTTTTATATTATATTTATTAATTAGATTGCTAGTTAGTTTCGCATAATTTACTTTCGTTTTTCCAATTCCTCGACAAATTAATGGAAAGACAAATATATAATTTTATTTAGTATAATAATCTATATAATTTAACTAAAAAAACAAAGAATATATAATAATATTACAAAATATAATTAGTGACAATTTTTTCAAGTGCAACAAACAAATTGACATTAAACAAGAATTTATTGAGCATAACAGTACTAGATAATATTACTTAGAATTAATCAGTTATTGCAATATTAAATTTTCGCACTTTATACGTATGCCGCATGTTAAAAGATAATCAATTATTATAAATGACACTATTCGTGATTTTGTTTCCGTAATTCCATATTTTTGCATCATGATTTTATCATTTCTTCATAATTGTATTATATACTATATAATTATCTATCACGTTTCGTTTTTATGTAAATTCGTAAAATTCCTTTGGCAAATTCGCATGCAAATTTTGAAACTACTTCGAAATTATAAAACTACATACATAATATTTTCGGCGGTACACAAAATGATACAGTTTTTTCTACATGCTAAATCTTCTCGAATCAATATTTGTATAATGTAAATCACAGTTGTTCCACAAAACATTTTTTACACAAAACAATTAGAACATTTATTAGTATTACACATTTAACAAAAGTAGATCGTTATTATTGCTATTTTACATAAAAATTGCAATAATATGTTTTATTTTATATATTTTGTATTCAAATTTTTAAATATTACACCAAGTTATAACTGTCGATGGAAGCAATTGTGTGTGTAAAGTGTTTAATCCTTCATATTTTTTA